ACAGACAGTGATGGGCACAGAGTCAGAAACAAGGACACAGAGACAGAAAGAGACAAGGGCCACAAGAGAGATCAATAGGGACACAAGAGATAGAGGCACAGAGAGAGACAGAAGAAGAGACACAGAGACAGGTACAAAGAGAAAAAGAAACAGAGACACACACCCAGAGAATCCAAAAAAGAAAGGCAATGACCCAGAGACAGGGTCATGGAGAACAAGGCCAGAGACAGAACAGGGACACAGTGGGACCAGAGAGACCATGACAAATGGACAGGGACACAGAGACCCAGGATCAAATGCAGACACAGAGATCCAGAACAAGCCAGAGCCCAAGTCAAGGACCCTGAGGCAGGTGTGAAGCCCCACAGCAGTGCCCCCAGTCTCCCTGGCCCTGTGGGCACCCACCAATCTGGAAGTAGGAGTAGGCAGCCAGGGGTTCATTGACCAATCGGTCACGCTTTGGGTTCCGTGGGCGCAGATGCATAATGTCACTCTCGGCCTTCTCATATGCCAGGGACACAGATGGGAACTGGCCAGGAGTGGAAGGAATCAAGGTTGAGGATTTGCCTGGGCCCCTGTCCCCTGCAGTCTGGAGTCCACCTCCCCCCTCAAATGTGAGCAGGACTGAGGTTAAGAGGCAGGACCTGCAGTGACCACACAGCCACACCTGCCTGGACAGCCTGGGTCCAGCTGGCCTCCATCAGAGCATTGATGGTGTCCGTCTCTATAAGAATAACTGCCTTTATTTCCACCGTCTCTAGCTCTCTTGTGGGCCCCTGTCCCCTGCAATCTGGAGTCCACCTCCCCCCTCAAATGTGAGCAGAACTGAGGTTAAGAGGCAGGACCTGCAGTGACCACACAGCCACACCTGCCTGGACAGCCTGGGTCCAGCTGGCCTCCATCAGAGCACTGATGGTGTCCGTCTCTATAAGAATAACTGCCTTTATTTCCACCGTCTCTAGCTCTCTTGTGCCCGTGCAACCTCTCCCTCCCCTCCCGCCTTCTCCTTCTTGTACTCTGGTCTCTGGGGTGCTCTGGGCATGGCCTCTGTTTCCCTGTTGTTCTCTCTCTCTTTCTGTCCCTTACTCTGTTTCTTTGTCCCTGTCTCTAGTCTCTTTCTCTGTGACTGTGTGTCTGCTCTTGTGTGTATCCCTGGGTCCCTGTCTCTATGTCTCTATGTCACCCTCTATCTCTATGTCTCTTCAGTCTCTCCCTGTGTCCTCCCATACCCCCCAATCTGTGACTACAAAGCAGCAGCATAGTATATTTATCAAGAGCTCAAGAACTGACTCCCTGGGCTCAAATCTCAGCTGTGCCACTTACCAGCCATGTGACCTGGGGCGAACCACTCAACCTGTATGTCTTAATGAGCTCATCAGTAAAATGAGGATGATAATAATAAAAACCCTCTCATCGGGTGGTTACAAGGACAAAATTAAGTGAATTAACGTGTGCCTGGCCCAGAGTAAGCATTATATAAATGTTGTTGAATAAGTATTTGTCAACACAGCCATGCATCTGTCTGTATCTTGGCTGTATCTGTGGCTTTTTTCCATCTATCTGAGGGTGTTTATTTATCCATAACTATTCAGAGAGGTCTGTGTGTGATCCAAGTTTAACCAGATATCTGTGTCTATTAATATCTGCTTGTCTGAGTGTCCATATCTGAATTCCTGTGTGCCCATGAGTCTGTCCATGCCTGCCCACCTGTAAGTCCACTTCTAGCTGTCTGTTGTACACACGTCTTGTCTGAGTCATTCTGGGTCTGAGTGTTCATGGTGGTCTCTGTCCATCATGTCTGTCTGTGGGCATATTCTGTGGGCACTGTGTGGGTGGGGGCTTTGACTGTAGACTCACAATGTCGGTGCAGAGCTCTATGAAGAGGATGGTGATGCACCCGAGGGGCAGGGGCACGCTGACAGTGATGTAAATGAGGTAGGGCGTCAGTTCAGGAATGTTCTTGGTCAATGTGTAGGCAATGGACTTCTTCAGGTTGTCAAAGATCAGTCGACCTGCAGGGGTACAGCAGACACCTCAGCTTCCTCACAGCCCGCTTCCTCCTGTGCCCACATTGCCTGCCCCTTCCCTGGCCTGGCCCAGACCCTGCTCCACGCCCGTCACAATTGAGGCAAAGTTGTCATCCAAAAGGATCATGTCGGCTGCATTTTTGGCAGCATCTGAGCCAGCGATGCCCATGGCTACTCCGATGTCTGCCTTCTTCAGGGCTGGGGAGTCGTTCACACCATCCCCCGTCACAGCCACGATTGCACCCTGCAGGCAGTGGGTGCAAGTGGGTGGGTGGCTAGTGAGAGACCAGCCCAGCCCATCTGTCCACCCTCATCAGCAGAGTCTCACCAGTCGCTGGCAGCTCTCCACGATCACCAGCTTCTGCTGGGGACTGGTGCGTGCAAACACCATCTCGGGGTGGGTACGCAGCGCCTCGACCAGCTCTGATGGGTCCATGTCCTTCAGCTGCATGCCATTGATCACGCAGGCTCGAGCATCCCTGGGGAGGGAGGTGGGAGGAACTCCCTGGGGCCTCAGTCTGCCTGGGGCATAAGGAGATCCCTGGGGAGGGCTGAGGGTGGCTCACTTCCGATTAACCTGGTCCACAGGCATGCGGAGGCGAGCAGCAATGTCCTCCACTGTCTCACTGCCTTCTGAGATGATGCCCACACTGGCTGCAATGGCCTTGGCCGTGATGGGGTGGTCACCTGTCACCATGATCACCTATGGGGGGGCCATTAGACCTTTGACCCCTTCAGATCAATCCAGTACCCTGTCCTGCCTGGTAGACGTCTGCTGATACACTCATTCATTTATTCAGCCAAGCATGACCACCTGCTATGTGCCTGGGGCTACAGTGGGGACAATACAGGCAAAAATCCCTGTACTTGTGGAGCTGACATTCTAGTGGGGGAAGACAGAAAATAAATAAAATAAAGAAATGAATGTTAGAAAGATGAAAAAAATTAAGCTTGGTGGAGGAAGTGGTGGTTCAATTTTAAGTATGCACAAGAATGTCCTCAATGAGAAGGTGATATTTGAGCAGAGACCGAAAGAGGTGAGGGAGCTGGCCATGTGGAAATCTGGGGGAAGAGTGTTCCTGGCAAAGGGAATAGCCAGTGCAAAGGCCCTGGGGTGAGAACATGCCTGAACTGTTGAGGAACAGCAGGGAGGACAGCATGATTAGAGAGGAGTGAACAAAAGGTAGAGGGCTAAGGAATGAGCTTAGAAAGGTAACCAAGGTCCAGGTGCTAGAGGGCCTTACAGACCATGGGAAGGGCTCGGGCACTGCTTGCTCCAGTATTGGCTCCCCACTCTCGACTTGTCTTAGGGGAATCAACCCTCTCTCCTAAGCCATTGGTTGGAGTGAGGTCTCTGGCCAAGATTGGGCAAGCAAGTTTAGACCTGGCCAGTTAAGATATTCTATTCTCCAGCCACCGTGACTGGTTTAGGGATGAACATGTGACCCAATCTGGCACTACTACAAAAGAGGCACTCTCCTTCTGTGGGGTGGCTGAACAGGGGGGATCTGTAAGTTAGAGCTGCTGGGGGGGGGAAGACCCCACACAAATGTAGGGACTGCTTGAGATTAAAGCCAACAGAGAGGAAAGGAGAGCTAAGACACGGAGAAAGGCAAATTCCTAATGACTGAGCCCCTGGATTCAGCTATATCTGAAGCTTGTTCCCCAGAACTTTCAGTATCATGAACCAATATATTTTGGTTCAAGCCAGTTTTAGGTGGTTTCTGTCACAGGATTCCTCTGTTCTCACCCTTGCCTGGTCCTCTCCCCAGTGGCATACCCGGATGCCTGCTGTGCGGCACTTGAGCACAGCATCAGGGACGGTGGCCCGGGGTGGGTCAATCATGGATACGAGTCCCGCAAAGCAGAGGCCACTAGATGGAAAGTTCATGGCCTCCACATCGAAGGCATAGCCAGGTGGGTAGTCCTTCTCATTCAGGTAGAGCTGGCAGAAGCCTAACCAGAAAAACAGGGAAGTCAGACAAGAGTCCTGGGAGCAGGGCCAGAACATGAGTAAAATAACTAGGCCCCTTCACTAAGCACCTATGGATACCTGACCCTGTGCTGAATCCTTCACTCGCATTATCTGAATCCATCCTCACAACCACCCTGTGAGGCTCATCCCCATCTTGCAGATGAGGAAACTGAGACTTAGAGAGGAGACACTTCTTGCCAGAAGTCACAGAGCAGTAAAGTGAAAGACCCAAAATTGGACCACAGGTCTGTGCCTTCCAGGGTAGATACATGGGCTAGGGAAGTTTAAGGGTCAGGACAAAAAATGGGGGAGGTCAGAAGTCAGGACAAATATTGGGGAAAGTCTTGAATTGTGGCAGGGACTGGGAAAGGTCAAAGGTCAAGAGAAGGCCACCAAAAGGTGGAGGTCAAAGCAAAGGCAGCTCATCAATTGGGACAAAGACTGGCAAAAATCAAGGGGTTACAGGTCAGGTAAGAGTGGGAAAGTTCCAAGTGAAGACAGGTGGGAAGGACTTGGGGTCAAGGTAGAAATTGAGCATAGACAGTGGTGAAGACAGAAACAGGGAAAGTTAAGGGTGATCAGCTGTCAGCCAGGGATGAGAAAGGTCAGGGTAAGGGCTGAACCCGGAAGGCTGGGCAGGGTCTATGTTGGCTCCTCCTAGCTCGCTGGTTTGTCTCCTACCCTGCCCAGGGCATCTCACCGAGCACGCGTTCGCCAAGGCCTCCAAGGGCTGAACCCGGAAGGCTGGGCAGGGTCTATGTTGGCTCCTCCTAGCACGCTGGTTTGTCTCCTACCCTGCCCAGGGCATCTCACCGAGCACGCGTTCGCCAAGGCCTCCCAGGCTGAGGTAGGCAGTCTGGAAGGCCTCACGCCATTGCTCGTCCAGCGGCAGCTCCTGTCCCTTGATGAGGATGGAGCTGCAGCGCTCCAGCACGCGCTCGGGGGCGCCCTTCATCACCAGCAAGTGCCGCGGGTCCCGTGGGTCCTCCAGGGTGTGGATAGACAGCTGTGGGCGAGGAAGGGGACGGTGCTGTGGGG